TTACTGCTGAAGATTTCAGTGCTTCTCTCAACACACAGATATACCAGATATGGATCAAGCTGCTGAACAAAACGTGTTACAATAAAGCACATTCTTTAACTTAAGAAGGCCTGAAAACATTATCCATATCACTTTAGATTCTCTCATTTATGAACACTCTGAACAGACAAAAGCGGAAAGTGGAATAATGGTATCTGATGAAAGCTGTTCTTTAGAAAAAGTCTTAAACTGATGAATAAAACTGACAAAATGCCACTTTTTGATGTGAATTAAACTACACTGGCTTTCTATCATGTGTACAGTCAATTTACCCAATTTACAAATTTGTCTGTGCTAAATAATAAGCAAAATAAATGACAAGTTAACAATATGTATAACCCTTTATTCACAGATTTCTGCAGGGAAGTGAGCCTGTATCTCAGCTATTTAATCACCAGGTCACTCTCTTTTGGCTCAAAGTTGCTAGTCGCTGCATGCATTTTCTGTATTATGAAATATTGTGTTCAGAACCACTTGGAGATTGTTATCCAGAGGTTCTAGAGCCAAAGAAAACAGTCAGCATCAGCACCTCATAATGTCTGATGTGGTAATAAATCACTGCATGCATTATTACTATGTTATAATGTTACAACAGTGTTATACTGGAACAAAAGCTGTACTGAACATTTAGGCTAACAACAGTGTTCTTTTCTGTTTAGACAGGCTACAACAAAACAAAAATGCCTGAGAAGTATCCAAATTTGATATCAGTTTGTAATGAATTGGTTTGAGTTCAGAACCGACACTTTGGTGTACCATGGTTTGCTAACTACCATTTAGAGCACCTGCCTGGTTTATGAATGAGCACCGGGCCTGAAACAGTGGAAGAAAATTCCCCTCGGCTCCACGACTCAGGAGATAATCTGTGATCGGACAGCAGAACAGCATGCAAACAGCAGCCGGAGTGCACCGACACAGCACAGATAATGGACAATATGCATTTAAAAAACATCCATCCTGTATGCTGTCAGTCACAGAGAGGACAGAGGAAAAAAATACACGCAGAGCCGACAGACAGTGAGTCTAAATGAGCCAGTGTGTGTGTGAGTGTATATGTGAGTGTTGGGGGAGGGGGAAGCAGAGGGAGCATGTCAAGGATTCGAGGTCCTTCATCTTTGCAGCAAAGCATACACACATTACACACACACACACACACATCTCTCAGTATAGCAACAGACAGCTGCAACCACTTTCTAATGCGCCCCAACTTAGATCAGTGAGAGAACTGACAGCGGACTCAGAAACGCACAAAGATAACACAGCCAGCTGCCACGGGAGAGAGAAAAAGAGAGAGAAAGGAAGAGAGAGAGAGAAAGGTTGGGGGGCTCTCTCTCTCTCTCTCTAGAAATGGGTTTTGTATTTGCATGCGTCTCTCTCCCTTGGGGTTTTCCTCCGTTTTCAGATGAAAAGCACACGAGACAACACTTAACATATTTGCTTAAAGATGACAACCCGGTACTGATTTCATTTGAGCTGGGCTTTGTCTGGAATGAAGATGGGGGAACTGAATGAGATTTGTTACAGAGACTGACAAATGTATCCGTCTGTACGGATGAGTGTTTCATCAATTTGAAACAGCCCCCGAGATCCCCCAAGGTGCTTGTCCGCCGGCGAGCCGACTTAGTCTGAAGCTTCCTTTAATTGTCACCATTAGATTGAGATAAAAACTGTCAGTCTCATTTACACAAACAATCCCGGGAGGACAGTGCCGGTTAGATGCCAAACAGCGCGCACTGTGCCGGCTTTTTATAACACTGAGGATTTAGTCAAACTACTGACAAATGAGCACAAAGAAAACAGTTGCAGCACAAAATCGCCTGTATTAAATTAACTCCTGCAGATTTGAATTCGACTCTGGAGGAGTTAACCTTACACCGCTAATGTGTGCGTGTCACACTGTACATGTGCATGGGTAAAATGTCAAAGGGATCAGATGGAAAAAAAAAAAAACATACAATGCTGCCTACAGCTTATGCCTACTTTTGAACTGAGAACCATGAAGATATGTTTCCTCTAAAAGCATGTTTATGAAAAAAGTCAGCCCTTAATAGATACAGAGAATGTATTGCGCACAGAAAGAGTCTAAACATTTGCTTTTGTATATATCTGTGTTTGTGTGCATGGTTTAAAAGCCTCTTTACGGTGAATTAATTCAAAGTCTAATTAACAATAAAATAGCATAACTACATAAATTTACTTTGGATCATAACTTATACCTAACACTACACACAATCATCATAAATGAATTAAAATAATATCTTACAAATCAATAAATCAGTACAGACAACTATTAAAACATTCATCAAAATCCACCACAATTCATAGATAAACAAGAATCTATACGAGTGCAAATTTGCAGTAGTGTAGTCTGCGAGTGCGAAAAGGGGGAATATGTATACATTCATATTGATTCATATTATTACACTTATGCAAGATCCAAAATTATTTCAGAAACAATGTTTCAGCAGTTTTCCATAGCAAAATAATACTGGATACTTAAGCATTCGAGCATGCGAGTGTAATATAAAGTTACCATAACTCGCAATGGCTGGTGGGTTTTCACTCTACTGTGAATTTATAGTGTGGTCATTAAAACCTGATGAGAGTCTTATAGTATTTTAAATATGGACAGCTGACCATGTCCACTCAAACTAGTCACAACAAATTCTTACGTAGAACAAAATCTACTGAAGAGAAAAAATAGTAATAGATTTTTTTAAACATACTGAAAAATAATAGTTTTGTTTAAAAATAGACAATAAATAAATAAATAAAAAATAAATAAGGGATGTCACCTGTATTAATAAATTCTAAATGAAAAAAAAAATCACAATTAATAGCTGCCTCTCGCGAACATGTTTGCACGCTGTCATACTATCACGCAACAAAACGATTAACGCACTAAGGTAGCAACAGCAAGGCTAGCCTTGCAGTGTGTGCGCGCTGGTGTGTGTTCCATAGGTGTGTATCCCCAAGGCTGCCTGGCCGCCTGCTCTAGCATGTCAACACGAGACACATCAAGCAAAGAGGGTGCTGAAAAGGGGAGGGGTCAGCATCTGTCATCAAGCACACCACAAAACTCAACATGAGCTTTCATGTCAACACACACACACACACATGCGCACACACAATCAGAAGAGAGTGGCGCTGTCATGTTGCTTAACATGCTGATAAAGCCGGGCCTGGGGTTAAATCAGGACTAAGCCCGACCTGAGCCAGCACCACACACGTCCTCCGCTTACTGTGTTAAATAAGCAGCACCACTGCAGGCTGCAACCCACCGCATCCTACTAGCAGCCCAACAGCACTTAACAAAAGCACTACAAAAGCTGCAAAGACCCAAACTAACATCTATCCAAAATATGTTTGACTCCTATTAGCAGATTGCAGCTGGTCAGATAACATTCATGCACTTCACAACAGCTTCAATTAGGCCACTAGGTCCTGTTCAGCTACTACCTACAAAAACCGATGACTGCGTCCGCTTTAATAGCTCAGGTATCATACGTCTAATGGCTTCCAGAGCAAAACTAAAAAAAACTGCAGCAAAACACTTCAACTTCTGAATAAAAAAGCTTGTGTAAATGTAAATGTACATTTCTCTATTGATGGATCCTCAGGGCTGAAGAGGAGTGGAAAACACACTTGAGTCCACGCCTGATGATTTTAATTGTGTGGTTAAATAACAAAATGCAAATGCTATTGATGTGCACGTTTCCACTTTCCACATTATCACTTAAGACTGATATTCTTTCAGGGATTTATTTGTATTTTTTATGGTTTTAACCTACGCATGTAAGATTATAAAGCTGGTCAACATTCTGCCACAATTACTCCAACCAGCCTTACTGTTTGCATCTGCTTTACTGACTGTTTATGAAACTAGTGAAACACAAATGTTATAACAGTAGCATAACTGTCGATATGTATAACATCCATCCTCCTGCCACAACAAACAATTCAGAGACAGTGAGAGTTAGTGGCAGAAAATGTCAGAAAAAAACAGACATGTACTTTTCTTGCAGGTTTAGGTAAAAAAGAAAACACCTCTCAAATTCACTGAGAGTTGGACAAGGGCACAGTTGTGCATATTGCTTTTTGCACAGCTCCGCTCTGCACGCTTGATGGATGAAGCAACATGGCCAGACTGAATAATGCATGCGTCCACATTCAGTAAATAGTTCTGCTAACTTTGCTCCGCTTCCAACACGAGTGCAGCGAGCGCGGAGCACATTTCTAACACTGGATGCAGGCAGAGACAGAAAACGAAAAGATGATTATCAACAAAAGTACGTACAGCGAGGAAAACTGTCGCACACGATACAAACAACACATACACATCCTTGTGTTGAGCACAGTTCAGAAAATAAAAGAGCATATTTACAGCAAATTCAAGGTGTGTTTCTGGTTTTGTTCCTTCAGATCTGTAAGGATTGATGAAGTGTAATATGACTACAGGCCTAAAATGAACTGAAAGCTTGTCTGCTAATTAAACCTCCAAAATGTGTTATTTTTGTGTATATTTCAAGCTTCACATAACACTTAAGAAAAAGATATAGCACTGGAGTGTGAGCTTAATTAAACTATAGACTATCACACACAGATATGAAAATAATGAATGTTAAAAACATCTGTCAGCTTTGAACTGATCATGAAAACGTATGACTGAAAGTGCACAAACAGAATGAATGCAGTCTAATGGGATGAAGGCAGTCTAACTAAGTAGACTGAGCTACGGCGCAGAGTGACTCTCCAGCGCTGTAATACTACACAGAGAACACAGTTATTACTTTGTAAACACTTTACAGTCCTAAAAGCTGCGTTTTGTAAAGCATTCAAACAGGTAGGCGAATCTGTCAGTGGCGTTCAAACACACAGACCTTTTCAATACTAAAACAAATCATGCATTTTAGAAGAAAAGACTCAAAATGACAGACATACAAAAATAATAATAGACGTACCATACACACCGGTGCTACTGATCATCTCTGCCACGCTAAAACAAGGGAGAAAAGGGGGGAACCAGCAGAATGGGAGGAATTCCAAAGGTTGGCTTTCAATACGGCCACTTTTCCTCTCCGCTATCGCATTTCAGCGCCGTGAAACGGGGGGCCTTTTCGTCAGGTATTCATTTAACCTACATGCATATAATTAAGGAGAAGGGAAAAGCAACAAAAGCTCTTGGATAACGTGGAAGGAGAGCAGCTCGTACAGAGAGAGAGAGAGGGAGAGAGATAGAGAGAGGGGGAGTGGAGAAGGCTAGGAGGGAGAGAGAGAGAGACTGGTGGGGGGAAAAACACATGACCACGACAGCAAGCTCATGTCAGTTTTTCTCCCACCGTCTGCTTAAAACTAGCAGAGCTCCAGCGCGGGCTGCTGATTGCCTGAACTGACATTAAAAAAACGCCACGCTCTGAACTCCTGCTCTCTCGGCATGATGTCCTCAGCTTTAAAAATAGCTCCCAGTCCTGCTGCCTGTCGGCGGCTGCCCTCAAACAGCCATGCAGCAACAAAAAAAATTGCACGTTTGCCAAACGGCGTGAAGGCAAAAAAGGGAGGGAAACTTTTCAGATACTGCAAGAGCCGAGCTGCCTTTTGCCAGGAAAGTTAGTTTGGAGCAGCCTCAACCCCACCCCACTGTTACTTTCCCCAGCAAAAGCCCCCTTCCTCCTAACGATGGACTGCAACACAAGCAGCGAGGTCAAACTTCACCTACCCAGGCGCACTCTCGCATTTTCACGCTCTCCGCAAAGCCGTGTTCAGAGCGAGGTTCGGTTCGCTGGGATGTTGCAGCTGGGGCTCGGTGCACGGCAGCGATCCGGAGAGGCGGTTTATTAAGCAGGGCGATAAGAGAAGAAGGAAAAACACACACACAAGGCAGAACGCTCTTCCTTCCGTAGTCCAGCAGCTCCCGTTGCTTTTCTCTTTTCTCTCTCTCTCTCTCTCTCTCTCTCTCTCTCTCTCTCTCACGCTCTCTCTCCTGAAAACTGTTAATATCGTCGAAAGAGCCGGATTAACTCTTACCTGTGTGTGTGGCAGGGTGAGCTCAGGGCTTTAGGGCGACATCGATCCGCGCAGGCTCGCCGACGGACGGGTGGTTGGGGCTCAAGCGCAGATGCTTGCGATTTGAAACCATTCCAAGTTAGTGAGGGGAAGACTGACCGCTGCCTCTGCCATGTTGGAATTTCAAACCCCAAACAGCTGCTGCACGGAGGAGCCAGCGCGCCGCGGATTGCGCATGCGCCCTTCCGAGGAGCCAAATTCAAAGCAGGGGCTGCACGGACGAGGCTGGCTTAACCACAGGGGTCAGTGCGCTGAGGGGATCACACCCTCACTCGCAGCGCATGTAAACATGTAAGCCTTACATGTTTGTGTTTGAAGCAGTCAGTTAATTGTCATAAAAAAGCTATTACTGGACATTTCTGTCGCTGCAGTCCGCTTTGTTAGAGAAACACTCACCCCTTAATATTCACTGGCCACTTCATTAGAAACACCTAACTTGTACTAACATGCACTGGCCACTTCATTAGAAACACCTAACTTGTACTAACATGCACTAGCCACTTTATTTATTAAGCACTACCCCACCGGCCACTTTATTAGAAACACCTCAAAGTACCACTCACTGGCCACTTTATTAGAAACACCTATATTATAGTTACGCTCACTGGCCACTTTATTAGAAGCATCTTCCTTGTACTAACGCGCACTGGCCACTTTATTAGAAACACCTACCATGTACTAACACGCACAGGCCACTAAATTACAAACACCTACATTGTACCAACATGCACAGGCCACTTTATTAGAAACACCTTGAAGTACCACTCACTGGTCACTTTATTAGAAACACCTCGAAGTACCACTCACTGGCCACTTTATTGGAAACACCTACCTTGTACCAACTTGCACTGGCCACTTTATTGGAAATATCTACCTTGTACTAACACGCACAGGCCATTTTATTGTAAACAACAAGCACTATATGATAAACATTACAACACAAAAAATGTAATCTTAAGTGAAAAACTCTTAAATCTAGTCAATATATCTAATATTTTTCATTATGAGATTATTGTAAGAGTTGCCAGATCATTTTACTTAAATAATGCAGATAATTGTGCAACTGAAAATTATGAAATGCAATGGAGTAAGACATTTTATTTACATAAAATTACTTAAAACAAGTAAAAAAGTCTAGAAATAATCTTATAATATTTACACAAATATTTATACATGTCATAATGAGAAATATTAGATATGTTGACTAAATTTGAAATGGTTTCACTTGCTAACATATCAGTTTTTTTGCGGTGTAGAAACGCCTACCTTGTAGTAACAGGCACTAGCCACTTTATTAGACACATACCTTGTTGTTACACTGACTGACCACTATCCACCTCATAGGTCCAATATTTAGGTGTACAATTACAGACTGCAGCTCATCTGTTGCACAGCTTGTCATTCACCCTCAACCCCATTCATCATCGGTCAGTTTCTGACCACAGGACCGCTGTTGACAAGATATTATTTGTGTGGTGGACCATTCTCAACACAGCAGTGACACTGACATGGTAGTGGCATGGGTAGTCTGCTACCATAAATATCCAGCGAAGAAAGAATTCATGAGCAGAAGCTGACCATGGATAAATGACTAGAAGATTGCCAAGACAAACTGTGCATGTCAATTGATATATAACATTAAAACAATAGGCAAGGTGAGCCTACAAGTTAGATATGTCTAATTAGTGGCTGGTGAGTGTTTGAATATATTTTAGGATGGAAAAAATGTTTTGATCTCTTATGCTTCTCAGTTGCTTGTCACAATTTATTAAAATGTCTCCATCATAAAGGACCCATATCATGGAAAACCAATTTTCCTCTTTTGTGGAATTAAGGAGTTTGATGTAGTATGTAAACATTGTTACACTTTCGAAATGCATCATTCACTCACTAGTCCATTCAGTCCATATAGGAAAACTAAGCAAAAACAACCCGTTTTGAATTCATTGAAATCATCACCCTACAGCAATTTAGCTCCACCCGTTCACGCTGAAGTTATAGAATGTTTCAGCCTAAACTGCTCTTTGAATGAGACACAGTACAGGACAGCCAATCAGAGGAGATACCACTTATCACTCTTGCACGTATATCAGTCTTAAAAGCACGGTATCTAATAGAGCCTGTTTAATTCTAAGGGATAAAATGAGATTGAAAAATGGTCATGTTAAAGTTAATTTCTGGTACATAAAATCACACAAATGTGATTATATGTAAAAGTATGTAGAAGTATGTAAAATGTATTATATGTTAAAGTGAACCTCAGAGGAAAAAATAAGTAAGAAAAATGCAGGATTTGGGTCCTTATTACTGTAATAAAATATTACAGTATGTTAGAATAACTTGTAAACAGACCCATACATAGACAGACAGCTATAATAGAAATATATAATTAGTAGTCTAGAAATACTGTACTGGGCAAAAATCTTGTGAAGCGATTTATCTGGTCAGTAAGTGTTTATATAACACTAACATGAGAGTAATAAATAAAAATAAATAAATAATAAATAAATAAGAAAACATTGTGATTATATATATATATATATATATATATATATATATATATATATATATATATATATATATATATGTATGTGTGTGTGTGCGTATCAGTCTTTCATTAAATTAAATCATCTGTGCTGCTGATGGAATTTGACAAATCCATACAATAGCTGGAGGACACCGAGAAGTGAGGAACCTCATGGAAAAAGGAAATGTTTTACTGAATTTATGTTTATTTATATTTATATTTATTATAACGCTATATAGTGTTTTTACTAGCTAAAACACACTGTTGAGATGAATAGTTTTAAATACATTTCTTGGCTGTCTAGTAGTTCTACACTGTACTGTACATGTGTTTTGTTTAATTTGGAGCAATTTACAGTGAAGCTGTTTGCTCATGGCTGCCACTTTGACTTTCCAGAGAAAACTGAAATCTGTTTCTTGACTAAAACAATGAGTGGAGTCAGCTCTTTTATGATATTCATACTGTTCTCAGTTGACATCTAATCACACTCAGTGATGCTGTGTCCTGCCTGGAATTATATATTGCCTTGACAGTCAAGAGTGAAAGCTCGTACATCACAACAGGCCACACTCCACACGTCTGTCTCTGTTTCTCCTGCAGAGGATTCCAGTGTTTTCATGGACTGAGGACATAAGTTTAGACACACACTACAATGAGCGTCACCCATGCTCCCTCGTGCCTCTTCCGCTCTATATGCGGAGCCTTGGAGTGATGCATTGATCCGGCCCTGAGCGCTCCCTGGTGAGCTCACTGGCCATTTTCAGCACAGCCTTCAACCCCTGAGAGAATTCCTGCCCGCTGGGCACCCACCTCCGCTCGACTCGGCCTCCCTAACAAATGACCACCCGCCTCACTCCAAGGTAATAATTACTGTCCCGGTCCTGACTGTGTCCGGCTGCTGCAGCTGGACCCTCGACTCCTCCGTCTTTCGCTGCTGTAGCTAATCTCGATTTAATTGAGTCCCACCCCACCTCGTTTTTTGGCAGAGAGGAGTGTTCATTATTGAGAAACAATGTGGATGTGATGATCAGAAGAGAGTATGCAATGGGGGGAAACTTAGAGTACACTCAGAAATATAATCCACATCAGGCAGTGAACAAGACTGTACAAGAGGGAGTGGAGCGTGGGGGGGTGGGTGATTAACAGAAAGAGAGAGAGAGGAAGGCAGAGAGAGAATGAGAAAATGAGAGGCAAAGAGAAAAGGACATGTAACAGAGCAGAGAAACAGAGGGAGAGAGAAGGAATGGAGAGAGAATGAGGGATGGGAACTGGAGAGAAGGAGAGGCAAAAAGGTAGATTAAAAAGATTAAGAGATGGAAAGAAACAAAGAAAGAGAAAAGATAGAGAGAAAGAAAGGGGCAGAGAGAAAAGAGAAGCAGTAAAAGAGTGAAAAATGGAAAGAAAAGGTGAGTAAGAAAAAGAGAGAGAAAAATAAAAAGGGAAGAAGGAAGAGATAGAGAGAAGTAAATAAAGAAATAGAGTAGGAAATTTAAAAAAAGGAAAGAGAAAGAGACAGAGAGAGAGGAAGAGAGAGAGAACAAGTGAAAGACATTAAAAAAAAGCAGACACGTAAACTATGAGGAGAAACAGAGGGAGAGAGAAGCAAATTAAGAGAAAGAGTGAGGACTGGAAGAGGCAAATAGTGAAAGATGGAAATAAAAGGAGAGATAAAGAAGAAGAAGAGAATGAAGGAAATATGAAGAGTGTGAGACATAAAAGGAGACAGAAAAGATGAAGAGGGTGAGGTAGAAATAGAAGCCAAGAGAAAAGGAAATGAAGAAAGAGAGAGTGAAAGATGGAAAAAGGGAAAAGACAGAAAACAATTAAGAGAGAGAGAGAGAGAGAGAGAGAGAGAGAGAGAGAAAAGAAATGCAAAGAGAAAACTGAATAAAAAAGAGTGAGATGGTAAAAAAGAGAGTGAGATGGGAGACAGAAGGGACGGAGAGGGAGAGAAAGAAAAGCAGAAAGAGAAAAGGAAATAAAAGAGAGTGAGATATGAAAAAAGACAGAGAGGGAGAAAGAGAAAAATGAAAAAGTGAAAACAGATTGAGAGAAAGTGAATAAGTCAGTCAGCTTTATTGTCATTT